AGGGTAGAGGAGGGGACGAGGACAGAGCCCTGAGGGACACCGCACGAGACAGTGCGGGGGCCGGAGGAAAAGCCGTTTGTGGAAACAAAATGAAGACGGTGGGAGAGGTACGACCTAAACCACTCAAGGACAGGGCCTTGAAGGTTTAGGTGGGAGGACAAGCGGTGGAGTAGGATAGCGTGGTCGACCGTATCGAATGCTGCCGATAGGTCGAGGAGGACGAGGAGGCAGAGGGAGCCCTGGTCACAGATGGTCAGGATGTCATTGGTGACCTTGACCAGGGCACTTTCTGTGCTATGGGCAGCACGGAAACCCGACTGAAGGGCTTCGAATAATGAATGGGTGGAGAGGAAAGAGCCGCTGGGAGGCCACAACTCTTTCAAGGACCTTTGACCGGAAGGGGAGGTTGGAGCTGGGCCGGTAGCTTGATAGCTGCGCTGCATCAAGGGAGGGTTTTTCCAAAGTGGGAGTGATGGTGGCAGTTTTTAGGGGAATGGGAACGGAGCCAGAGGAGAGGGACAGGTTGACGATGTCTGTGAGAAGTGGGGCAAGGAGGTGGAGCTGAGAGATAAGGAGTGGAGTGGGGATGGGGTCAAGGGAGCAGGTGATGGGTTTCAGGGATAGGATGATTGGTGACAGAGGGTGGGGAAACGGGTACGAAGGTGTGTAGGGGAGGATGGGTAGGAGTCAGAGTGTGGGAGCGAGGGAGTGGGGGGCGTGTGGGAGTTGGAGTGGGAGTGACCACGGAGCGGATTCCCTTGATTTTGGATTCAAGGAAATCCAGCATCTCCTCGCAGTGAAGAGTGGAGGAGATGACCTGCGTGGGGTGGTGGGGGGGATGGAGGACTCGGGATGTGGTAGAAAACAGAAGCCTGGGGTTGTTCTTCGCCTCCAGGAATATCCTGGAGTAGAAGGACGACTTGGCCGAGGCTAGAGTGGAGCGGTAGATTTTGTCGGTGGACTGTTAGGCCAGATTTGAGACAGGTGCGTTCAGCGGCCCGTATCTGGCTCTTCAGTGAGCGGAGGTGGGTGGTGAACCAGGAGAAGGAGCGAGAGTAGGAGACACTACAGGAGGTGACGGGGGCAAGAGTGTCGAGTGGGACGTGAAAGGCACTCTATAAATGGAATCTTGTTGTTGCTGTTGTTGAGTGTGGAGGAGAGGGTGTTGTGGAGGAGGGTGAGAGGAGAAGAGGGGTAGAGGGAGAGGAGTTCAGAGGACTCCAAGGCAGTGGTTAGGGATTGTGAGGGTAACTTCTTCCAGGGGCGGTAGAAGATGGTGGTGGGTCTGGTGGAGGTGGGGAGGGGGGTGGAGGTGGTAAAGGAGATGACTCTCCTTTCACTCTCTCCCTTTCTCTCACACTCTCTCCCGCTCTCTCTCACTCTCACACACTCTCTCTCTCACACTCTTCCCCTATCTCTCACACTCTCGCCCTCTCTCACACATTCTCTCTCTCTCTCTCTCTCTCTCTCTTTCTCTCACACTCTCCCTTTCTCTCTCTCACACTCTTTCCATCTCTCACATTCTCTCCCCCTCCTTCACACTCTCTCTCTCTCCCTCTTTCTCTCACTCTCTCTCCCTCTCTCTCACATTCTCTCCCTCTTTCCCCCCTCCTCTCTTCCTCTCAATCTCTTCCTCTCTTAGACTCTCTCTCTCTCTTTCTCACACTCTTTCTCTTTCTCTCTTAATCTCTTCCTTTCTCTCACACTCTCCCCCTCTCTCTCACCCTCTCCCTCTTTCTCTCACTCTCTCTCACACTCTCTCTCTCACAATCACACTCTCTCCCTCTCTCACATATTATTTCCCTCACTCCCTCTCTCTCTCACACTCTCCTTAATCCTTGCATTTGATATAGCGCTTTTCACGTCGGGAGGACGTCCCAAAGCGCTTCACAGAACACACTGTAAAGTGAATTGACTGTATATTTGTGGGCGAACACGGCAGCCAATTGCGCACAGCAATGTCCCACAAACAGTCGTAGATTGAAAGTGATCAATTTATTATTGTTTGAGGTTTTGGAGGGATTATTATTAGGCTCTGTGTGGAGTAAGGAAACTTGCCCGAGGTTTGGCCCTCTGCCGGGAATTGAACTCAGGTCTCTCACTTGCAAAGCGAGTCCTCCAACCACTGAGCTACAGGACTCCTTTTCTCTCTCCCTTCTCTCTCTTACACTCTCTCTCTCACATTCTCTCCTTCTCTCTCACACTCTCCCTCTCTCTCACAATCTCTCCCTTTCTCTCGCACTCTCTCCTTCTTTCTCTCTCACTCTCTCCCTCTCTCACACTCTCCCTCTCTCTCTCACTCTCCCCCTTTCTCTCTCTCTCTCACACTCCCTCTCTCTCACACATTCTCTCCCTCCCTCACACACTCTCCCTCTCTCACAATCTCTCCCTTTCTCTCTCACACTCTCCCCTCTTTCTCTCACTCTCTCCCTCTCACACAGTCTCTCCCTCCCTCACACACTCTCCCTCTCTCTCTGTTTCTCCCTTGCTCTCACACTCTCACCCCTCACACTCCCTCCCTCTTTCTCTCTCTCTCCCATTCGCTCTCACACACTCTCCCTTTCTCACACTTTCCCCTCCCTCTCTCTCTCTCAATCTCTTCCTCTCTTACACTCTCTCCCTCTCTTTACCTCTCATTCAATCTCTTCCTTTCTCTCACACTCTCCCCCTCTTTCTCTCACACTCTCTCACATTCTCTCCTTAATCCTTTCATTTGATATAGCGCTTTTCACGTCAGGAGGACGTCCCAAAGCGCTTCACAGAACACACTGTAAAGTGAATTGACTGTATATTTGTGGGCGAACGTGGCAGCCAATTGCGCACAGCAATGTCCCACAAACAGTCGTAGATTGAAAATGACCAATTTATTATTGTTTGAGGTTTTGGAGGGATTATTATTAGGCTCTGTGTGGAGTAAGGAAACTTGCCCAAGGTTTGGCCCTGACCCCCCGGGGATTGAACTCAGGTCTCTCATCTGCAAAGCGAGTGCTCTAACCACTGAGCTACAGGACTCATTTTCTCTCCTTTCTCTCTCTTACACTCTCTCCCTCTCTCTCTCACATTCTCTCCCTCTCTCACACACTCTCCCTCTCTCAAAATCTCTCCCTTTCTCTCTCACTCTCTCACCCCCTCTCCCTCTTTCTCACCCTCTCTCTCTCCCTCTCACGCTCTCAGTTTCTCCCTCTCACTCTCTCGCACTCTCCTTTCTCTCACTCTCTTTCACATTCTCTCCCTCTCTTTATCACACACTTTTCCTCTCTCAATCTCTTCCTTTCTACACTCTCTCCCTCTCTCACACTCTCCCTCTCTCACTCTCCCCCTCTCTCCCCCTCTTTCTCTCACTCTCGACCTCTCTCACACTCCCTCTCCCCCTCTCTCATACATTCTCCCCCTCCCTCACACACTCTCCCTCTCACACTCTCTCACCCCTCACACTCCCTCCCTTTCTCTCACACTCTCCCTCTCTCTCGCACTCTCTCCCTCTTACTCTCTCCATTTCTCACTCTCTCACATACTCTCCCTCTCTCACAATCTCTCCCTTTCTCTCGCACTCTCTCACACTCTCCCCTCCCTCTCACGCTCTCACAATCTCTCTCTCACTCCTTCCCTTTCTCTCACATTCTCTCCTTCTCTCACAATCTCTCCCTTTCTCTCTCCCTCTCTCACACTCTCCCCTCCCTCTCACACTCTCACAATCTCTCTCCCTCACTCCCTCCCTTTCTCTCACATTCTCTCCTTCTCTCACAATCTCTCCCTTTCTCTCTCCCTCTCTCACACTCTCCCCTCCCTCTCACACTCTCACAATCTCTCTCCCTCACTCCCTCCCTTTCTCTCTCACATTCTCTCCCTCTCTTTCTCACACTTACCCCCTCTCTCTCTCAATCTCTTCCTTTCTCACACATTCTCTCCCTCTCTCCCAGTCTCCCCCTCTCTCTCTTACACTCTCCCTCTCTCACACTCTCTCCCTCTCTCCCTCACACCCTCTCTGTTTCAAATCAGGATATCACACAACAGATTGATGTTTAATAATCTCTTTGAGGCTCAATTTAGTTACAGATAGAGGAGACAGTGAGGCTGATCGCAGTGTTAGAGACAGAGCAGACAGTGAGGCTGATCCCAGTGTTAGTGACAGAGGAGACAGTGAGGCTGAGCCCAGTGTTAGAGAGTGGATAATGTTTTGCTTGTGCGATCTTGGAGTCTTGATTGTTTCTCATTTTTCTCTGTGAGATCCCAACACAAGCCGACAGGCAGATACAGATTCTGGGAATAGTTTGTGATAACGAGCGACAGGTACAAACACAGCTGATATCATTCGACCTGTCGGGGAGGGAGAGCAAGAGTGTGAGTGGTTAGTAATGTAGAGTAATAATCCACAACTGTTTGTGGGGATGTCGCTGTGCACAATTGGCTGCCATGTTTCGCCCACAAAACACACGGTCACTATACTTCACAGTACAGTGAAGCGGTTTCAGGCGTCTTGACAATGTGACAAACACAGATAATGTATTATTATCATATTTTATATTGACAAAATGGCTATTTCCACCATCAGAAGGTGATGGTTCAAGGAAATGTACAGTATCGTGTTTTATCTGGTCGCATATCAACAGGGAGGCAACAACAACAACAACAACAAGATTCCTGTGGAAGGGGTGGGTGGAAGTTGGAGGGGGAGTGACCGCGGAGCAAATTCCCTTGATCTTGGATTCAAGGAAATCCAGCATCTCCTCGCAGTGAAGGTTGGAGGAGATGACCTGCGCGGGGTGGCGGGGGGGACGGAGGAGTTGGGATGTGGTAGAGAACAGTAGCCTGGGGTTGTCCTTCGCCTCCAGGATTATCCTGGAGTAGAAGGACGACTTGGCCGAGGCTAGAGTGGAGCGGTAAATTTTGAGGAGGTCCACCCAGATTTGTCGGTGGACCGTTAGGTCAGATTTGACCCAGGTGCGTTCAGCGGCCCGCACCTGGCTCTTCAGTGAGCGGAGGTGGGTGGTGAACCAGGGGGAGGAGCGAGAGTAGGAGACAGTTCGGGAGGTGATAGGGGCAAGAGTGTCGAGTGTGGAGGAGAGGGTGTTGTGGAGGAGGGTGAGAGCAGAAGAGGGGTCGGTGAGGGTTGAAGGCCAGTGGGAGAGGAGTTCAGAGGACTCCAAGGCAGCGGTTAGGGATTGAGGGGGTAACTTCTTCCAGGGGCGGTAGAAGATGGTGGTGGGTGTGGTGGAGGTGGGGAGGGGGGTGGAGGTGGTGAAGGAGATGAAGTGGTGGTCGGAGATGGCCTTGTCGGTGATGGTGACATCCGAGACACTGAGGCCCCAGGTGATCACCAAATCGAGTGGGTGGCCGTGACTGTGAGTGGGGGAGTTGATGTGGAGGGCGAGGTTGAGTGAGGAGAGCAGGGAAGAGAAATCTGAGGAGATGGAGCAGGAGGGGGTGAAGTGCAGGTTAAAGTCGCCCAGGATGATGAGGCAATCAGAGCAGAGGCAAAGAGATGTGAGGAGTGTTGAGATATCAGAGATAAAGGTGGGAGAGGTTTTAGGGGGCCGGTAGAGGAGGAGGATTTTAAGTGAGAGGAAGGAGGGGTGGGAGAGGGTGAGGTGCTCAAAAGAGGGGAAAGAGCCAGAGGAGTAGGGGGATAGGGCAAGTGGTGTCCTTGCGATAAGGGCAACACCACCGCCACGGCGGTTGGGGCGAGGGATGTGGTGGGAGGTGTAGCCGGGTGGTGTGGCCCCTGAGGGGGAAGGTGTCGCCTGCCGTGAGCCAGGTTTCAGTTAAGGCCATGATATCAAGCGGACATTTTGTAATCCGATGTGGATGGAGCGGTTGACAGAAGGGTGTGTGGGGAGGGAGGGGGGTCCCGGTTGTGAGGCAGGGGTGGGGGAAATGGGGATGAGGGAGGAGAGGTTGGCTCCCCGGGTCTGTGTCCGGGGTGGGTGGCAAGTGTGGTGGGGAATGGGGCAGTCGGTGTGGCTGCTGCTGGACAGCCAACGCCGAGTGCCGCGGTGAGCCCGGCCGGCGGAGGATTCCCAGGCTGGAGCAGAGGGAGGTTGTGGGAGGGTCAAGTGGGGATAGAAGGTGAGAGGGACGGAGAGAGAGGAGGAGAGAGCAGGAGAGATGCAGAGGGGGGAGGGTTTGGGGGTAGGGGGGAGAGTTTGGGGGTAGAGAGGAGGGAGGAGGGAGGGAGGGGGTGAGGGTCTCGGGTCATAGCGGCAGCCATATTGCGCACGCGGGGACCGGGAGCGAGCGGTCAGGTGGATGGACACATTATCCCATGGGCCGGGGCTGGGGCAGCCAACCCAACAGGACCATGGTGGGCCCTGATGTGAGCCCTGGTGGGGGGGGGGGGGGCGCAGAGGATTTTTTTCCAGGCAAACAGGGAATTTATACTGTACTTGAGATCAAGTATCAAGTGCAAGTATTATTATTATTATTTGTGGAGGCTGTAGTGTCGTGGTTAGCAGCTTGCCTAACAAGCTAGCCTTGCAATAGGACCTGAGTTTGATTCCTGGGGGAAGTTGGGCAAGTTTCCTTACTCCACACGCCTCTGTTTACCTGACAGTAAGCAGGAACCCGGTTGTTAAGTCGATTGGTGGATGGCTTTCCAGGGATAATAAACTTTCCAAAAAAAAATTAAATTTGTGGACACTGCTGTGCATAGTTGCACATTCACGCACAAAACACACTTTACACCATATCATGTGAAGCACTTTGAGACATCTCAATGATGTGATAAGGCGCTGTCTCAAATGCAAGGATTATTATTATTATCATTTGACAGATAGGGACTGTGAGGCAGGAAGGGATTAAGTCCAATGTTGGAGGGGAGAGAGAAAGACAGCGAGACTGTTGTGTCAGAGATAGATAGAGGACAAAGGGAAGTGCAAAGGGTTAAGTCCGCTGTGAGTCAGGAGGAAGAGGACAATAAGGGGTTAAGCATGCAGCTACAGAACTCACCAGCAAACCAACGTCCATTTAGCACATTCACAATCAGCTCAGCCCCCCGGACAGTTGGGCACTTTATATACACATCACCCTGAAATAAACAGAACGTTAAGCACAGCAAAGCTCCTCTACACTGTGCGCCCACACTCCCAGGTCAGGGTTAGAGACACAGTAAAGCTCCTCTACACTGTGCGCCCACACTCCCAGGTCAGGGTTAGAGACACAGTAAAGCTCCTCTACACTGTGTGTCCACACTCCCAGGTCAGGGTTAGAGACACAGTAAAGCTCCTCTACACTGTGCGTCCGTCCACACTCCCAGGTCAGGGTTAGAGACACAGTAACGCTCCCTCTACACTGTGCGTTCGTCCACACTTCCAGGTCAGGGTTACAGACACAGTAAAGCTCCTCTACACTGTGCGTCCGTCCACACTCCCAGGTCAGGGTTAGGGATGGAGGTGTGTGATCTCTGACCTGTGCAGAATTGAGGTGAATATGAATGACGCCACCATACTTGTTACACTCCTCGATCACATCTTCCATCACTTCCCGTTCCTCACTGGTGTCCCTGGGATTGAGGCAGAATGGGAATGAGAGCAGTCTGGGCCTATCCGCTCAGTATGTGTCTATCTGTGTGTCTTTTTGTGTGTCTGAGTGTGTTTTTGTGTATGTGAGTGTATGTATCTGTGAGTGTATATCTGTATGCATAATAATACTAATCCTTGCATTTGATATAGCGCTTTTCACGTCTTCCAGACGTCTCAAAGCGCTTCACAGAATATACTGTAAAGTGAATTGACTGTATAATTGTGGGTGAACGCGGCAGCCAATTGCGCACAGCAATGTCCCACAAACAGTCGTAGATTGAAAATGACCAATTTATTATTGTTTTTTGTTTTGGAGGGATTATTATTAGGAGTAAGGAAACTTGCCCAAGGTTTCGCCCTCTGCCTGGAATTGAACTCAGGTCTCTCGTTTGCAAAGCGAGTGCTCTAACCACTGAGCTATGGACTCCACTGTGAGTGTGTGTGTATGTGAGTGTGTGTGTATCTCTGAGTGTGTGTCTCTCCGAACCCTTACACAACCCAGGCGTCAGGTTCAACCCCCAATTTTTCTTCCTCCCCCACATCCGGTCCCTCACCAGCGCCGCTCACTTCCACCTCTGACCCATCGCCCGTCTCCGCCAATATCTCACCCCAAAAGCCGCTGAATCCCTGATCCAGGCCTTTGTCACCTCTCGGCTGAACTACTCTAACGCCCTCCTCACCGGCCTCCCCTCCACTACCATCCATAAAATCCAGGTCATCCAGAACTCTGCCGCCCACGTTCTTACCCGCACCAAACTCCGCTCCCCCCAGTCCTGACCCTCCCCCCCACCCCCAAACTCCACTCCCCGATTACCCCAGTCCTTGCTCTCCCCCCCCACCCCCAAACCCCGCTCCCCCCAGTCCTGACCCTCCCCCCCACCCCCAAACTCCACTCCCCGATTACCCCAGTCCTGACCCTCCCCCCACCCCCAAACCCCACTCCCCGATCCGCCCAGTCCTGGCCCTCCCCCCCACCCCCAAACCCCTCCCTCCCACCCCCAAACGCCTCTCCCTGATCCCCCCAGTCCTGGCCCTCCACCACTACCCCCAAACTCCACTCCCCAATCCCCCCAGTCCTGGCCCTCCCCCCACCTCCCGCCCCCCGGCTCCGCCCTCTCCCCTGACTCCTCCCCCTCCCCCTGACTCCTCCCCCTCCCGCCCCCTGACTCCTCCCCCTCCCCCTGACTCCTCCCCCTCCCCACCCCTGATTCCTCCCCCTCCCCACCCCCTGACTCCTCCCCCTCCCCTGACTCCTCCCCCTCCCCACCCCCTGACTCCTCCTTCAGTGGGGAGGTGTGTGTACGGTATGTGTGTGAAGGGAGGAGGTGTGTGTGCAGGGGTGGTGGTATGTGTGTGTGCAGGGGGAGATGTGTGATGGTATGTGTGTGCAGGGGGAGTTGTGTGTTTGTGCAGAGGGAGGTGTGTGTATATGGGGGAGTTATGTGCGCATGGGGGGGAGGAGTGTGATGGTGTGTGTGTGCAGAAGGAGGGGAGGTATGTGTGTGAAGGGTGGAGGTGTGTGTGCAGGGGTTGATGTGTGTATGCTAGGGGGAGGTGTGTGCACATGGGGCGGGAAGTGTGTGCGTTGGGGAGGTGTGTGCGGGGGGAGGTGTGTGTGTGCGCAGGTGATGTGTGTACATGGGGTGGTGTTTGTGCGGTGGGGGAGGTGCGTGTATGCAGGGTTAGGTGTGTATGTGTTTGCGAGGGGAGATCATAGAATCATAGATTCATAGACTGTTACGGCACAGAGGAGGCCATTCGGCCCATCGAGTCTGTGCGGCTCTTTGACAGAGCGTCACTTTCACTGACCCCAATCACCAGCTTTCTCCCCATAACCTGCAAACCCTTTGTGTTGAGATGTGTTGGGGGAGGTGTGTGTGGGGGGCAGTGAGTGTGTGGGTGGAGGTGTGTATGCGTGGGGTGATGTTTGCGGAGGTTGATGTGTGTATGCCAGGGGAGGTGTTGGGGGAATGTGTGCGCGTTGGGGGAATGTGTGCGCGGGTGATGTGTGTGCGAGGGTTAGTGTGTGTATGCAGGGGTGGTGTTTGTGCGGTGGGGGCGGAGTACGTTTGTGTGCCAGGGAGATAGGTGTGTGTGCAGGGGGGAGGTGTATGTGCAGGGAGTGTTGTGTGTGTGGGGGTTAGTGTGTGTGTGTGTGCGAGGGAGGTGTTTGATGGTATGTGTGTGCAGCGTGTGGTGTGTTTGTGCAAGGAGTGGGAGTTGCGTGTGTGCATGGGGGGGGGGTGTGGTCGGGGAGCGGCGGCAGGACAGCGCGGGGAGGAGCCTGGGCCTACTGACCCAGGTACTTAAACTCGACGCCGGAGCGAGTTCAGCCCCGGGGGGAGGAGGGGAGGGGAAGGGGTGGTCTGGAGGCGGAGCGGGGGAACCGCTGACGTCATAGATTAGTTTTCAGGTGAGTGCGCGCGCAAAAAAAAAAAAACCCTCTGCGCCCCCCCCCCCCCCCCCCCCCCCAGGGCTCACATCAGAGCCCACTATGGTCCTGTTGGGTTCGATGCCCCAATCTACGGGATAATGCCATCCACCTGACCGCTCGCTCCCGGTCCCCGCGTGCGCACTATGGCTGCCGCTTTGACCCGAGCCCCCTCACCCCCTCCCTCCCGCCCCCCTCCTCTCTCCCCCAAACCCTCCCCCTCTGCATCTCTCCCGCTCTCTCCTCCTCTCTCTCCGTCCCTCTCGTCTTCTATCCCCACTTGACCCTCCCACAACCTCCCTCTGCTCCAGCCTGGGAATCCTCCGCCGGGCTCACCGTGGCACTCGGCGTTGGCTGTCCAGCAGCAGCCACACCGACTGCCCCATTCCCCACCACACTCGCCAGCCACCCCGGACACAGACCCGGGGAGTCAACCTCTCCTCCCTCATCCCCATTCCCCCACCCCTGCCTCACAACCTGGACCCCCCTCCCCTCCCACACACCCTTCTGTCAACCGCTCCCTCCACATCGGACTGCAAAATGTCCGCTCCCTCTGCAACAAGGCCCTGGTCATCAACGATCTCATCCTTGATGAGAACGTTGATATCATGGCCTTAACAGAAACCTGGCTCACCCCAGGCGACACCTTCCCCCTCACGGAGGCCACGCCACCCGGCTACACCTCCCACCACATCCCCCGCCCCAACCGCCGTGGCGGTGGTGTTGCCCTTATCTCAAGGACACCACTTGCCCTATCCCCCTACTCCACTGGCTCTTTCCCCTCCTTTGAGCACCTCACCCTCTCCCACCCCTCATTCCTCTCCCTTAAAATCCTCCTCCTCTACCGGCCCCCTAAAACCTCTCCCACCTTCATCTCTGACATTTCAACACTCCTCACATCTCTTTGCCTCTGCTCCGATCGCCTCATCATCCTGGGCGACTTTAACCTACACTTCACCCCCTCCTGCTCCATCTCCACAGACTTCTCTTCCCTGCTCTCCTCACTCAACCTCTCCTTACACATAAACTCCCCCACTCACAGTCACGGCCACCCACTCGATTTGGTGATCACCCGGGGCCTCAGTGTCTCGGATGTCACTATTACCGACAAGGCCATCTCTGACCACTACTTCATCTCCTTCACCACCTCCACCCCCCTCCCCACCTCCACCAGACCCACCACCATCTTCTACCGCCCTTGGAAGAAGTTACCCCCACAATCCCTAACCGATGCCTTGGAGTCCTCTGAACTCCTCTCCCTCTGGCCTTCAACCCTCACCGACCCCTCTTCTCCTCTCTCCCTCCTCCACAATACCCTCTCCTCCACACTCGATACTCTTGCCCCCATCACTTCCCGCACTGTCTCCTACTCCCGCTCCTCCCCCTGGTACACCACCCACCTCCGCTCACTGAAAAGCCAGGTGCGGGCTGCTGAACGCACCTGTGTCAAATCTGGCCTAACGGTCCACCGACAAATCTGGCTGGACCTCCTCAAAATTTACCGCTCCACTCTAGCCTCGGCCAAGTCGTCCTTCTACTCCAGGATAATCCTGGAGGCGAAGAACAACCCCAGGCTACTGTTTTCCACCACAACCCGACTCCTCCGTCCCCCCGCCACCCCGCGCAGGTCATCTCCTCCAACCTTCACTGCGAGGAGATGCTGGATTTCCTTGAATCCAAGATCAAGGGAATCCGCTCCGCGGTCACTTCCCCTCCAACTTCCACCCACCACCCACCCCTTCCCTCCCACACTCCGACTCCTACCCATCCTCCCCTACACACCTTCGTACCCGTTTCCCCACCCTCTGTCACTGAACTCATCCTATCCCTAAAACCAACCACCTGCTCCCTTGACCCCATCCCCACTCCACTCCTTATCTCCCAGCTCCACTTTCTTGCCCCACATATCACTGACATCATCAACCTGTCCCTCTCCTCTGGCTCTGTCCCCATTCCATTAAAAACTGCCATCATCACGCCCACCCTGAAAAAACCCTCCCTTGATGCGTCGCAGCTATCAAGCTACCGGCCCATCTCCAACCTCCCCTTTCTCTCCAAGGTCTTGGAAAGAGTTGTCGCCTCCCAACTGCGCTCTTTCCTTTCCACCCATTCTCTTTTCGAACCCCTTCAGTCAGGTTTCCGTGCTGCCCTAGCACAGAAACTGCCCTGGTCAAGGTCACCAATGATATCCTGACCATCTGTGACCAGGGCTCCCTCTGTCTCCTCGTCCTCCTCGACCTATCGGCAGCATTCGATACGGTCGACCACGCTATCCTACTCCACCGCTTGTCCTCCCACCTCAACCTTCAAGGCACTGTCCTTGAATGGTTTAGGTCGTACCTTTCTCACCGTCTTCACTTTGTCTCGACGAATGGCTTCTCCTCCACCCCCCGTACTGTCTCATGTGGTGTCCCTCAGGGCTCTGTCCTCGGTCCCCTCCTCTTCACCCTCTATATGCTCCCCCTTGGTGACATCATCCGCAGACATGGGTTAACTTCCACATGTATGCGGATGACACCCAACTCTACCTTTCCTCCTCTACTCTCAACTCCACGACCACCGATGTCCTGACAGCTGCCTGTCCGACATCGAGTCCTGGACGAGAGACAACTTTCTTCAGCTCAACGTGCGAAAAACCGAGGCCCTCCTGATTGGCTCACGTCAGCGCCTCCGCACCTCAGGCGCTGACACCATCAGCATCCAAGGCTGCACTCTCCACCTCTCAAAGCCAGTCAGGAACCTCGGCGTTTTGTTCGACCCTGAGCTGTCCTTTCTCCCTCACATCCGCACCACAACTGGCACCGCCTTCCATCACCTCCGGAACATCGCCAGACTACGGCATTACCTCACCCCTCACGCTGCTGAAACCCTGGTTCACGCCTTTGTCACCTCAAGGCTGGACTATGGGAACTCTCTCCTCGCCGGCCTTCCCGCCACCTCCCTCCACAAGCTGCAGGTCATTCAGAACTCTGCAGCTCGTGTACTGTCCCGCACCAGGCTTCGGGACCACATCACTCCCACCCTCGCTCGCCTCCACTGGCTCCCCATCCCCCAGAGGATTGATTTCAAGATCCTCATCCTCACCTACAAGGCCATTCACGGCCTTGCTCCCTCCTACCTCTCCAACCTACTATCCCCCTACCTACCTGCCCGTACCCTCCGTTCCTCTGGCTCCGGTCTGCTCCACGTCCCCCGCCCCAACCGCCCTACCATCGGTGGTCGGGCCTTCAGCCTCTCAGCCCCGAGGCTCTGGAACTCCATCCCCCAGTGCCTTCGCCGCTTCCTCCCTTTCCTCCTTCAAGGCCGGTCTCAAAACCTTTCTCTTTGACCGTGCCTTCAGCTCTCCTCTCGACTCTCTTCCCCCTCCTCGCTCCCTCCCTTCCCTCACCCTGACCATTTCCCCCCTCCTCGCTCCCTCCCTTCCCTCCCCTCACCCTGACCATTTCCCCCCTCCTCGCTCCCTCCCCTCACCCTGACCATTTCCCCACTCCTCCCTCCCTCCCTTCCCTCCCCTCACCCTGACCATTTCCCCACTCCTCCCTCCCTCCCTTCCCTCCCCTCACCCTGACCATTTCCCCCCAATGCTCGGGTCATGACCCAACTGTGCAGCGCCTTGGGACGTCCTCCTGACGTGAAAGGCGCTTTATAAATGGAATCTTGTTGTTGTGTGTGCAGGGGGGGAGGTGTGTGTAGGGGGAGGTGTCTGTGTGCATGGCAGGAAGTGGGTGTGGAGTGGGGGAGATTTGAGGCTGTGCAGGGAGAGATGTGTGTGCGTTCGGGGTTGTGTGTGTAAGCAGGGGGGGTGTGCAGGGGGGAGTGTGTGCAGGTGTGGGTGGGTGCGGGGGTGTTGTGTGCGGGGGAGTGTGCAGGGTGGGGGGTGTGAAGGGGGTGTGCGGGTGTGTGTGTGCTGGGTAGGTGTGTGCGCGGGGGGATTGCGGGGGGGGGGGTGCGCGGACGATGCGCGGGGATTGTGTGCGGGGGAGGTGTGTGTGCAGGGGGGTTTGTGTGCGGGGCGTGTGTGCGGGGGAGGTTGCGGGGTCGGGTGTGCAGGGGGGGTTGCGGGGTGGGTGTGCGCGGGGTGGGGGGGCTGACTCACTGAAGAGGATGGAGGAGGTTAGACAGTTGGATGCACTGAGATGACAGTGGTCGGGGAGGGAGGTCGTTCACAGGTATCCCCACAACCTCTCCCTGAGCTGTGAGAGAGAGAGAGAATGAGTAAGAGACAGAGATTGTGTGGTTGAGAGAGAGAGTGTGTGTGTTTGAGAGTGTGTGATTGAGTGTTCGTGTGTGGAGGTTGGGGGGATGCGCGGGGGGGGGGGGGCTGACTCATTGAAGGGGATGGAGGAGGTTAGACAGTTGGATGCATTGAGATGGCAGTGGTCGGGGAGGGGGGTCCTTCACAAGTTTACCCACAACCTCTCCGTGAGCTTTGACAGAGAGAGAGTGTGCATTTGAGAAAGTGTGTGTGTGTTTGAGAGTGTGTGTGTGTTTGAGAGTGTGTGTGTTTGAGAGTGTGTTTGCGAGTGTGTGTGAGAGAGGTGTGTGTGAGAGAGGAGTGTTAGAGGTGTGCGTGTGTATTTCACGGTGTGTGTGTTTGGGAGAGCGTGTGTGTTTGCGAGTCTGTTTGAGAGAGTGTGTGTGAGAGAGAAGTGTGTGTGTTTGAGAGTGTGTGTATTTGAGTGTGCGTGTGTTTGAGAGAGATTGTGTGTGTGATGAGTGTGTGTGTGTGAGAGTGTGTGTGTTTGGGAGAGTGTGTGTGTTTGAGAGAGTGTGTGTTTGGGAGAGCGCGTGTGTATTTGAGAGTGTGTGTGTTTGAGAGTGTGTGTGTTTGAGAGAGTGTGTGTTTGAGAGAGTGTGTGTTTGAGAAAGTGTGTGTTTGAGAGTGTGTGTGTTTGAGTGTGTGTTTGAGAGAGAATGTGTGTGTGATGAGAGTGTGTGTGTGAGAGAATGTGTGTGTTTGAGTGTGTTTGAGTGTGTATGTGTGTTTGAGAGTGTGTGTGTGAGAGAGAAGTGTGTGTGTGTTTGAGAGTGCGTTTAAGAGAGATAGTGTGTGTGTGTTTGAAAGAGTGTGTGAGTTTGAGAGAGAGATTGTGTGTGTTTGTGAGTGTGTGTTTGAGTGTATGTGTTTGAGTGTGTGTGTGTTTGAGAGAGATTGTGTGTGTGTTTGACAAAGTGTGTGTTTGAGAGAGCGTGTATGTTTGAGAGTGTGTGTGTGTTTGAGAGTGTGTTTGAGTATGTGTGTTTGAGCGTTTGTGTTTGAGAGTGTGTGTGTGTGTTTGAGACAGATTGTGTGTGTGATGAGAGTGTGTGTGTGAGAGAGGAGTGTGCGTGTATTTGAGCGTGTGTGTGTGAGCGTGTGTGTGTTTGAGAGTGTGTGTGTGTTTGAGAGTGTGTGTGTGAGGATGTGTATGTGTTTGAGTGTGTGTTTGAGTTTCTGTTTGAGAGAGTGTTTGTGTGTTTGAGAGAGATTGTGTGTGTGTGTTTGAGAGATTGTGTGTGTGATGAGTGTGTGTGTGAGAGGAGTTTGTGTGTGTTTGAGTGTGTGTGTTTGAGTGTGTGTGTGTGTTTGAGAGTGTGTGTGTGTTTGAGAGTGTGTGTGTGTTTGAGAGAGTGTGTGTTTGACGGAGTGTGTGTGTGTTTGAGTGTGTGGTTGAGAGTGTGTGTGTTTGAGTGTGTGTGTTTGAGGGTGAGTGTGTTTTTGAGAATGTGTGTGTGTGTTTGAGAGTGTGTGTGTTTGAGAGTGTGTGTGTTTGAGAGTGTGTGTGTTTCAGAGAGAGTGCGTTTAAGAGAGATAGTGTGTGTGTGTGTGTTTGAAAGAGTGTGTGAGTTTGAGAGATTGTGTGTGTGTATTTGAGAGTGTGTGTGTTTGAGTGTGTGTTTGAGAGAGATTGTGTGTGTGATGAGAGTGTGTGTGTGAGAGAATGTGTGTTTGAGAGTGTGTTTGAGTGTGTATGTGTGTTTGAGAGTGTGTGTGAGAGAGAAGTGTGTGTGTGTTTGAGAGTGCGTTTAAGAGAGATACTGTGTGTGTGTGTTTGAAAGAGTGTGAGTTTGAGAGAGAGATTGTGTGTGTGTTTGTGAGTGTGTGTTTGTGAGTGTGTGTGAGAGTGTGTGTTTGAGAGTGTGTGTGTTTGAGTGTGTGTGTGTTTGAGAGATTGTGTGTGTGAGAGAGTGTGTGTGTTTGAGAGTGTGTGTTTGAGAGTGTGTTTGAGTGTGTATGTGTGTTTGAGAGAGTGTGTGTGTGTTTGAGAGAGCTGTGTGTTTGAGAGAGAGTGTGTGTGGGTTTGAGAGAGATAGTGTGTGTGAGAGAGGTGTTTTTGTGTTTGAAAGAGAATGTGTGTGTTTGAGAGAGATTGTGTGTGTTTGAGAGTGTGTGTGTGTTTGAGAGTGTGTGTGTGTGTGTTTGAGAAAGTGTGTGTTTGAGAGAGCGTGTATGTTTGAGAGAGTGTGTGTGTGTTTGAGAGTGTGTGTTTGAGTGTGTGTGTTTGTGTGTTTGAGATGTGTTTGTGTGTGTTGTGTGTGTGATGAGAGTGTGTGTGTGTGAGAGAGAGGAGTGTGTGTGTATTTGAGCGTGTGTGTGTTTGAGCGTGTGTGTGTGAGCGTGTGTGTGTTTGAGAGTGTGTGTGTGTTTGAGAGTGTGTGTGTGAGGATGTGTATGTGTTTGAGTGCTTGTTTGTGTGTGTGTTTGAGAGTGTGTGTGTGTTTGAGAGTGTGTGTGTGTTTGAGAAAGTGTATGTTTGAGAGAGCGTGTGTGTTTGAGAGAGTGTGTATGTTTGAGAGAGTGTGTGTTTGACGGAGTGTGTGCGTGTTTGAGAGTGTGTGTTTGAGTGTGTGTGTTTGAGCGTTTGTGTTTGAGAGTGTGTGTGTGTTTGAGAATGTGTGTGTTTGCGATTGTGTGTTTGAGAGTGTGTGTGAGAGAGAAGTGTGTGTGTTTGAGAGAGTGTGTGTGTGTGTTTGAGAGAGATAGTGTGTGTGAGAGAGGTGTTTGTGTTTGAAAGAGAATGTGTGTGTTTGAGAGAGATAGTGTGTGTGTTTGAGAGTGTGTGTGTGTGTTTGAGAGTGTGTGTGTGTTTGAGAGAGACTGTGTGTGTTTGAGTGTCTGTTTGAGAGAGTGTTTGTCTGTTTGAGAGAGTTTGTGTGTGTGTGTTTGTGAATGTGTGTGTTTGTGAATGTGTGTGAGTGTGTTTGAGAGTGTGTGTGTGTTTGAGTGTGTGTGTTTGAGAGTGTGCGTGTGTTTGAGAGTGTGCGTGTGTTTGAGAGTGTGTGTGTGTTTGAGAGTGTGTGTGTGTTTGAGAGAGAGCGTGTGTGTGTTTGAGAGAGATAGTGTGTGTGTTTGAGAGAGTGTGTGTGTGTTTGAGAGTGTGTGTGTGTGTTTGAGAGAGATTGTGTGTGTATTTGAGTGTCTGTTTGAGAGTGTTTGTGTGTTTGAGAGATTGTGTGTCTTTGTGTGTGTGTTTGAGAGTGTGTGTGTTTGAGTGTGTGTGTGTGTGTTTGAGAGAGATTGTGTGTGTGTTTGAGTGTCTGTTTGAGAGTGTTTGTGGGTTTGAGAGAGAGATTGTGTGTGTGCCTTTGTGTGTGTTTGTGAATGTGTGTGTTTGTGAATGTGTGTGAGTGTGTTTGAGAGTGTGTGTGTGTTTGAGAGTGTGTGTGTGTTTGAGAGTGTGTGTGTGTTTGAGAGTGTGTGTGTGTTTGAGAGAGAGCGTGTGTGTGTTTGAAAGAGAATGTGTGTGTTTGAGAGAGATAGTGTGTGTGTTTGAGAGAGTGTGTGTGTGTTTGAGAGTGTGTGTGTGTTTGAGAGAGAGCGTGTGTGTTTGAAAGAGATAGTGTGTGTGTTTGAGAGAGATAGTGTGTGTGTTTGAGAGAGTGTGCGTGTGTTTGAGAGTGTGTGTGTGTTTGAGAGAGAGCGTGTGTGTTTGAAAGAGATAGTGTGTGTGTTTGAGAGAGTGTGTGTGTGTTTGAGAGAGTGTGTGTGTGTTTGAGAGTGTGTGTGTTTGAGAGTGTGTGTGTGTTTGAGAGTGTGCGTGTGTTTGAGAGTGTGTGTGTGTTTGAGAGTGTGTGTGTGTTTGAGAGAGAGCGTGTGTGTGTTTGAAAGAGAATGTGTGTTTGAGAGAGATAGTGTGTGTTTGAGAGAGTGTGTGTGTGTTTGAGAGTGTGTGTGTGTGTTTGAGAGAGATAGTGTGTGTGTTTGAGAGAGTGTGTGTGTGTTTGAGAGTGTGTGTGTGTGTTTGAGAGAGATTGTGTGTGTGTTTGAGTGTCTGTTTGAGAGTGTTTGTGTGTTTGAGAGATTGTGTGTGTGTCTTTGTGTGTGTGTTTGAGAGTGTGTGTGTTTGAGAGTGTGTGTGTTTGAGTGTGTGTGTTTGAGTGTGTGTGTGTTTGAGTGTGTTTGAGAGAGATTGTGTGTGTGTCTTTGTGTGTGTGTTTGTGAATGTGTGTTTGTGAATGTGTGTGAGAGTGTGTTTGAGAGTGTGTGTGTGTTTGAGAGTGTGTGTGTGTTTGAGAGAGATAGTGTGTGTGTTTGAGAGAGATAGTGTGTGTGTTTGAGAGTGTGCGTGTGTTTGAGAGTGTGTGTGTGTTTGAGAGTGTGTGTGTGTTTGAGAGAGAGCGTGTGTGTGTTTGAAAGAGAATGTGTGTGTTTGAGAGAGATAGTGTGTGTGTTTGAGAGAGTGTGTGTGTGTTTGAGAGAGTGTGTGTGTGTTTGAGAGATTGTGTGTGTGTCTTTGTGTGTGTGTTTGAGAGTGTGTGTTTGAGTGTGTGTGTGTTTGAGTGTGTGTGTGTGTTTGAGAGAGATTGTGTGTGTGTTTGAGTGTCTGTTTGAGAGTGTTTGTGGGTTTGAGAGAGAGATTGTGTGTGTGTCTTTGTGTGTGTGTTTGTGAATGTGTGTGTTTGTGAATGTGTGTGAGAGTGTGTTTGAGAGTGTGTGTGTGTTTGAGAGTGTGTGTGTGTTTGAGAGTGTGTGTGTGTTTGAGAGTGTGTGTGTGTTTGAGAGAGAGCGTGTGTGGGTTTGAAAGAGAATGTGTGTGTTTGAGAGAGATAGTGTGTGTGTTTGAGAGAGTGTGTGTGTGTTTGAGAGTGTGTGTGTGTTTGAGAGTGTGCGTGTGTTTGAGAGTGTGTGTGTGTTTGAGAGTGTGTGTGTGTTTGAGAGAGAGCGTGTGTGTGTTTGAAAGAGAATGTGTGTGTTTGAGAGAGATAGTGTGTGTGTTTGAGAGAGTGTGTGTGTTTGAGAGTGTGTGTGTGTTTGAGAGTGCGTGTGTGGGTGAGAGTGCGTGTGTGTTTGAGAGTGCGTGTGAGAGTGCGTGTGTGGGTGAGAGTGCGTGTGTGTTTGAGAGAGAGCGTGTGTGTGTTTGAAAGAGAATGTGTGTGTTTGAGAGAGATAGTGTGTGTTTGAGAGAGTGTGTGTGTGTTTGAGAGTGTGTGTGTGTGTTTGAGAGAGATTGTGTGTGTGTTTGAGTGTCTGTTTGAGAGTGTTTGTGTGTTTGAGAGATTGTGTGTGTGTCTTTGTGTGTGTGTTTGAGAGTGTGTGTGTGTTTGAGAGTGTGTGTGAGGATGTGTATGTGGTTGAGTGTGTGTGTTTGAGTGTGTGGGTGTTTGAGAGAGTGTGTGTTTGAGAGAGTATGTGTGTGTTTGAGAGAGTGTGTGTTTGAGAGAGAGCGTGTGTGTGTTTGAAAGAGAATGTGTGTGTTTGAGAGAGATAGTGTGTGTGTTTGAGAGTGTGTGTGTGTTTGAGAGTGTGTGTTTGCGAGAAATTGTGTGTGTGTTTGAGTGTCTGTTTGAGAGTGTTTGTGTGTTTGAGAGAGAGATTGTGTGTGTGTCTTTGTGTGTGTGTTTGAGAGTGTGTGTTTGAGTGTGTGTGTTTGAGTGTGTGTGTTTGAGTGTGTGTGTTTGAGTGTGTGTGTGTTTGAGAGCGTGTGTGTTTCAGAGAGATTGTGTGTGTGATGAGAGTGTGTGTTTGAGAGAGGAGTTTGTGTGTGTTTGAGCGTGTGTGTGTTTGAGAGCGTGTGTGTTTGAGTGTGTGTGTGTGTTTGAGTGTGTGTGTTTGAGAGAGATTGTGTGTGTGATGAGAGTGTGTGTGAGAAAGAGGAGTTTGTGTGTGTTTGAGAGTGTGTGTGTGTTTGAGAGTGTGTGTGTGTTTGAGAGTGTGTGTGAGGATGTGTATGTGGTTGAGTGTGTGTGTTTGAGTGTGTGGGTGTTTGAGAGAGTGTGTGTTTGAGAGAGTATGTGTGTGTTTGAGAGAGTGTGTGTTTGAGAGAGTGTGTGTGTGTTTGAGAGAGAGACAGAGAGAAAGACAGAAGAGAGAGAGAGAGACGGAGGCAGAGAGAGCATTGAGACACTGACAGAAGGAGGAGAGACACACAGGAGAGACAGAGAACAGCAGATGGACTGACTTTGCTGAGTTGGTGTCCGGATGGTGAGTGATTTCATCACTGCAGGACCTGCAAAAACACAAGCTAAATAATTCACACACTCTGTCCCTCTCTCACAAACTCTCATAGGAACAGGAGGAGGCCATTCAGCCCCTCGAGCCTGTTCTGCCATTCTATAAGATCATGGCTGATCTGTACCTCAAGTCCAGTTACCTGCCCTTGCCCCATATCCCTTAATACCCCAACCTGACAAATATCTAGCTATCTCCGTCTTGGAGATGTGAATGGATCCCAGCATCCACAGCCTTTTTGGAGGGAGAGGTCCTGATTTCCACTGCCCTTTTTGGTGAAAAACCACTTTCCAAATGCACTCCTAAATGGCCCAGGACTAACTTTCATATTCTGGCCCCTTGTCCTGGATTCCCCACCAGAGGAAATAGTTTCTCTGTAGCTACCCTATCGAATGCCTTTATTATTTTAAAAACCTCAATCAGATCATCCCTCAACCTTCCAAACTCAAGGGAATGGAGACCAAGCTTATGTAACCTGCCCTCATAATTTAATCCTTTCAGCCCTGCTATCATTCTGGTGAATCTGTGTTGCACCCTCTCCAGAGCCAATATATCCTTCCTGAGGTGCGGTGCCCAAAATTGAACACAGTCTCCATATGGGGTCTGACCAAGGCTCTGTATAGTTGAAGTCTCATTTCCTCTCCTTTATATTCCAACCCCTTGAGATAAAAGGCCAACATCCTATTAGCCTTCTTGATAATGTTTTGTGCCTGTGAGCTTGTCTTTAGTGATTTGTGTACGTATACACCCAAATCTCTTTGCTCCTCCATAGTTCTGAGGTTTCTCCCCATTTACAAAATATTCTGTTTTGCTATTTTGGGATCCATGACCTCACACTTCCCCATGTTGAACTCTATCTGCCACAGTTTTGCCCACTCACTTAATCTATCTAAGTCCCTTTGCATCTTCCTGCACCCATCTAATAATAATAAAAACCCTTGCATTTGATGTAGTGCCTTATCACATCTTCAAAATGTCTCAAAGTGCTTCTCAGAATATACTGTAAAGTGAATTGACTGCATATTTTATGGGCCAAACACTGAGCCTCCTAACTTTGTGTCAGCTGCAAATTTTGCTATAAAACTCTCTATTCCTTCATCAAAGACATTTATATATGTGTATGGTGAGGCCACAGTACAGACCCCTGGAGAACATCACTAGTCACATCCCGCCAATCAGACCACGTTCCTTTTATCCTTACTCTCTGTTTCCTGCCTCCTAACCAAATACCAAGCCACATGGCAAGTTTACCTCCCATTCCATGTGCTTTTATTTTTGCTAATAATCTCTTATTCAGAACCTTATCAAATTCCTTCTGTAGACGACATCCACAGACACTCTCTAACCATCATGTTATTGACCTCCTTAAAATATTCAATCAGATTCGTCAGACATGACCTACCCTCACAAATTCACGCTGACTCTTTGATTAGCTCATACTTGTCCAAGTGCTCAGTCGCTCTGTCCTTGATGAGAGATTCCAGTAACGTCCCCACAGCTGAAGTGAAGCTGACAGGTCTGCTGTTACCTGGTTTCTCCCTCCCTCACTTCTTAAATAATGGAGTGACATTTGCAATTCTCCAATTCAAGGGCACAATTCGTGAATGTAGAGCTTTGGAAAATTATGACTAACACATCTGCAATTTCCTCCCCTACTTCTGTTAATCCCCTGGAGTGGTATCCACCAGTTCCTGGAGATTTGTCTATCTTTAATCCCATTATTTTCTCCATTACCATCCTTATTATCCATTATAGTCTCACCTACATTTGTCTTTAATGGGGCCCACATTCCACTTTACCACTCTCTTTCTCTTAATATATTTCTAAACACTTTTACTATTGCCCTTGATATCTCTTGCATATTCCCTCTTTGCACCTCTCATTACTTTCTTTGTATCTCTTTCTTGTTTTTTATAAGTCTCCTAGGCCGCCAGATTTCTACTTGTTCTTCCGTTCGTGTTAACCTTTCTTTTAGTTTGTTGCTGCCTCTGACCTCATTTGTTGAGCCTGGCTGTTGAGCGTTTGTGTTTGGGGGATGGCCTGGTTCTGTTTTGTACTAAATTCTTCTTTGAAAACTTCCCACGATATGTCTGTGGGTTTACCCATTAACAGTTCAGCCCCGTTTAGCAGTTCATTTATTTCTCATCCCTTCAAAGTTTGCCATAAAGTTTTAAATTTAAAATCTTGGTTTGCGACTCTCCTGCTCAATATCTCATCCACCCCCTCCCTCCCAACCCCCCGAACACACACACGTCATCCCTCTTACACCCACTCTCACACTCACACTCTCTTTCACACACACACACTCCCACACACTCTCCCACACAATCTCAAACTCTCTCTCACACTCTTTCCCACACTCAAACTCTCACATACTCTCACTCTCACCCACTCTCTCACACACACCCTCACACTCTCACACTCCCTTACACCCTCACACACTCTCACACCATCTCACACTAACAAACTCTCATAGACTCTCACACACACTCACACATCATCACACACGCACACACCCTCACACTCTCTCAACACACCATCTCACTCTCACACCTTCTCATTCTCACACCCTCTCCCTCTCACACTCTCACACTCTCACTCCCTCACACTCACACACCCTCTCACACTCGCACACCCTCTCACACTCCCTCTCACACTCTCACACCCTCTCACTTTCACACCCTCTGCCTCTCACACACTCTCACACTCCCTCACACACCGTCACACACTCTCACACACACCCTCACACTCTCTCACACTCTCACACTCTCACACTCTCTGCCTCTCACGCACTCTCACACTCCCTCACACACCGTCACACACTCTCACACACACCCTCACACTCTCTCACACTCTCACACCCTCTGCCTCTCACGCACTCTCACACTCCCTCACATACCGTCACACACTCTCACACACTCTCTCACACCCTCTCACACTCTCATTTATTTCTCATCCCTTCAAAGTTTGCCATAAAGTTTTAAATTTAAAATCTTGGTTTGCGACTCTCCTTCTGCTCAATATCTCATCCACCCCCTCCCTCCCAACCCCCCGAACACACACGTCATCCCTCTCACACTCACTTTCACACACACACACTCCCACACACTCTCCCACACAATCTCAAACTCTCTCTCACACTCTTTCCCACACTCAAACTCTCACATACTCTCACTCTCACCCACTCTCTCACACACCCTCACACTCTCACACTAATAATAATAATAATAATAATAATAATCCTTGCATTTGATATAGCGCTTTTCACGTCGGGAGGACGTCCCAAAGCGCTTCACAGAATAGACTGTAAAGTGAATTGACTGTATATTTGTGGGCGAACGCGGCAGCCAATTGCGCACAGCAATGTCCCACAAACAGTCGTAAATTGAAAATGACCAATTTATTATTGTTTTTGTTTTGGAGGGATTATTATTAGGCTCTGTGTGGAGTAAGGAAACTTGCCCAAGGTTTCGCCCTGCCTGGAATTGAACTCAGGTCTCTCACTTGCAAAGCAAGTGCTCTAACCACTGAGCTACAGGACTCCACACTCCCTTACACCCTCACACACTCTCACACCATCTCACACTAACAAACCCTCATAGACTCTCACACACATCACACATCATCACACACGCACACACCCTCACACTCTCTCAACACACCATCACACCATCTCACTCTCACACCTTCTCGTTCTCACACCCTCTCCCTCTCACACACTCTCACACTCTCACTCCCTCACACTCACACACCCTCTCACACTCGCACACCCTCTCACACTCCCTCTCACACTCTCACACCCTCTCACACACCCTCACACTCTCACACACCATGTCACACCATCTCACACTCTCACACACCCTCACACTCTCTCACACCCCCTCTCACACACTCTCACACACCTCATGCTCCCTCACACACCCTCACAATCTCTCACACACCTCATGCCCTCTCGCACTCTCACACACCCTCACACACACCCTCACACACACCCTCACACACACTCACATCATCTCACACAACTTCACACATTCTCACACACCCTCACACCCTCTCACACACACTCACACAAAATCACACCCTCTCACACACAACATCACACTCTCTCGCCCTCCCTCACAATCTCTTACACACACTCACACCCTCTCACACTCTGTCACACACACTCACACACCATCTCACACTCACACCCTCTCACACACCCTCACACCCTCTCACACCCTCACACACTCTCACACACCCTCACACACTCTCACACCCTCTCACACACCCTCACACAACCTCGCACATTCTCACACAACATCACACCCTCTCACACACACTCACACAACATCACACTCTCTCACCCTCCCTCACACCCTCACACACTCACACACCCTCACACTCTCTCACACACCCTCACACACTCTCGCACACCCTCACACCCTCTCACACACCATCACATCATCCCACACACCCTCTCCCACACCCTCACACCCTCTCCCACACCCTCACACACACTCACATCATCTCACACACCCTCACATCATCTCAAACACCCTCACACATACTCACACAACCTCTCACTCACACACTCCCTCTCACACACCCTCACACACTCACAGCCTCTCACACACCCTCACACCCTCTCACACCCTCACACACTCTCACACACCCTCACACACTCTCACACCCTCTCACACACCCTCACACACACTCATATCATCTCACACACCCTCACACAACCTCGCACATTCTCACACAACATCACACCCTCTCACACACACTCACACAACATCACACTCTCTCACCCTCCCTCACACCCTCACACACTCACACACCCTCACACTCTCTCACACACCCTCACACACTCTCGCACACCCTCACACCCTCTCACACACCATCACATCATCCCACACACCCTCACACACCCTCTCCCACACCCTCACACACCCTCACACTCTCTCACACCCTCTCCCACACCCTCACACACACTCACATCATCTCA